TTTTCAGAAATTAGAATACCATCTCCCACCCAAAAATCTAATTCTCCTAATTTTATATGGGCCCACTTACTTTTTAATAACAAACGTAGAAATCATTAATAATTAGAATTCAATTCCTGATCCTAATTCCAATTCAACCATAAATGGAGCCTTAATGATTTATAAATTAATGCTCCAATAAGAAGGTTTTGAAACTTAGAGAGTCTTGAATGGGAGAAATTGTTACACCTGACAGTTCGGACCACGTAAATGTGCGATCATTGTCGCTAAAATTAAACTCTTATGTATTTTGATCTCACCGTACCCCACTGGTTGTGAGTGTGGTGTACGGCAGTCGCACAGAAGAATCATTCAAAGCAGCACACCATTCATGAAAGATTCAGTCGATGACCATGACTTCATTTTTGAGTAGCTTCTGGAGACTTGGAGTCGGTGAGTGATGAGAGAGAACCCTTTCCAGTCTCTCTTTCGTGTAAGCTTTCAATTGGCTCTTTCTTTCTTGGTCTATGTATGGCGCAGAAAAGTCTTAAACCTAAAAACCTAGCTACAATTTTTTTTTTGTTTTTACAAGGCACCCCCGCCACCCCCCCAATGCATGGCTTCAACCAAGTTCATGCCACGTGTGACATGACATGCATGGATGCCCTACTTGAAAAAGAATCCGCAGTAGAAGCAACTATGGACCCCATATTTTTGTCTTGTTGCTTTTTCTTGTGTGAGAGGAGTCCTTGATGGTGTTGTGCCTTTGCGCCGAAAGCAAAGACTAGCACAGATATTGAAGTCAATGAAATGAAGTCGGTCTCTCAACTCCAATTTCCTCCTTTTGCAACTTGCCCTATTTTGTTCCGTACAATAGAAGCTTGAAATTAGGTTCTACTTGTTCTTCTTCATCTTATCTCGATTTTATGCCCGTTTTGTTCAATGTTCAGAAGCTTGGAAATAGGTGTGAAATTGCAATACTTGACTCATAGGTGTGAATGTGGAAGTTTGGTAATCTTTTTTCCCCTACTTGAAAAAGCTTTTAATGCACTTTTTTAAGACCCATTTCTAATTTTTAAATACCACATTTTATTAGTAACTTTAAATAAAAAATAAAGGGTGTTATTGGAAAACTCAACAACTTCACATTCATAATAATGCACAAACTAAACATAGAATGAGAGAAAGTGACATTTCGTAGTCCTCATTTCCCAAACATGGGGAATGAAGATATTTCATTCCATCTCTACATCTTCCATTCTCATCTCCTGGGATTAGAAATGAGAGTTTCATTGTCAAAAAGTTTATTATGCAAACCAACACAGGTGTACCTCACAAAATGTTGATCATCCCTCAATACGATCCCCATTTATTTGGTAGGTTTAAGTAGATTACATGTATAAAAAGAACCAAAGCGAAAACGATTTAGTTATGTAATCGTGATCAAACATATAAGTGAATACTATTTTTTTAAGAATAAACTAGAATTGGAAAATTGCTACCCATAAACAAACATTCAATGCCATTGCCATCATCCCTTACTTTTCTTTAAATTATGAATCCCCTTAAAAAGCTCCCTCGTGAAATTAGACCAATAAACTAGAATTGGAAAAATTGCTACCCATAAACAAGTTTGACCTAGAAAAAAAATAGTAATGATAGTAGAAGAAGAAACCAACCTCTCTTTAATTTTTTTTAAAATTTTATTTTATTTTATTTTATTTTTAATTTGCTCCTATGTATTGTACGGTCCCTTTCCCCAAAATGACGAGGGTGACTTGAAATATTTACATAAATACATTATTTTTAAAATAAATAAAAAAGGTTTTCCAATGCGAATCTTTGTTTGTGAGGCAGCTATCTCACCAAAGGGTGATTTCAATCCAAAGTACTTGATTCCATCAAACTCCTAAAAAGACCTAGAACAAAACTCCTCCTCTATTTCCAGGTCCCAAAACCCTCTCCCTCTCTCCACTGTCGCTTTACGCTTGCACGTAATCAACACACACCTTCTCTGCAACTCTCCCATGGCTGCCACCACCACCAAGCCCTCCCCTCTCTCTTCCTCTCTCTCCAAACCCACACCCCTCCCTCTAACCCACAAAAACTCTCCTTCTTTCTCCCCCAAAAACCCCCCTAAACCCTCTTTCCCTCTCAAAACCTCCTCTCTGACATACCCACACCTCCTTCTTTCTCCCCCAAAACCCTCCCTAAACCCTCTTTCCCTCTCAAAACCTCCTCTCTCTCACATACCCACAAAGCTTCCTCCTTCACCCTCCGCTCCAAAAACCCAATTTCCGAGTTTTTCCCAGCAAACAAACAAAATCCAGATGGCGATTTTATTGATTACGATGATGACGATAAGCCCCGGGAGGAGTGTGGGGTCGTGGGCATATATGGCGATCCAGAAGCCTCTCGCCTCTGCTATTTGGCCCTACACGCCCTTCAGCATCGTGGCCAGGAAGGGGCTGGAATCGTGTGTGTGCAAGACGACGTGCTTCAGTCTATAACCGGCGTGGGGCTCGTGTCTGAGGTCTTCAATCAGACCAAGCTCGACCAATTGCCTGGTGACTTGGCAATTGGGCATGTTCGTTACTCGACTGCAGGGGCCTCTATGCTGAAAAATGTCCAGCCTTTTGTTGCAGGGTACAGGTTTGGGTCTGTTGGGGTTGCCCACAATGGCAATTTGGTCAACTACCGTGCCCTTAGAGCGAAGCTTGAAGACACTGGGTCCATTTTCAACACCAGCTCTGATACAGAGGTTGTTCTTCACCTTATTGCTATTTCAAAGCATAGACCTTTTCTTTTGAGAATTGTTGATGCTTGTGAGCAGCTGGAGGGGGCTTATTCTATGGTGTTTGTGACCAAAGATAAGCTTGTTGCGGTCCGGGACCCGCATGGGTTTAGGCCTTTGGTTATGGGGAGGAGGAGCAATGGCTCTGTTGTGTTTGCATCTGAGACTTGTGCACTTGATTTGATTGAAGCCACATATGAGAGAGAGGTGTTTCCTGGAGAAGTTGTGGTGGTAGATAAAGAGGGGGTTCAATCACTTTGCCTTATGTCTCATCCTCAGCCAAAGCAATGTATCTTTGAGCACATTTACTTTGCTCTGCCGAATTCTGTGGTTTTCGGACGATCAGTGTATGAATCCCGGCGTGCATTTGGTGAGATACTTGCCACTGAAGCACCGGTTGATTGTGATGTTGTGATTGCAGTGCCTGATTCTGGGGTGGTGGCTGCACTTGGTTATGCTGCTAAAGCCGGTGTGGCTTTTCAGCAGGGTTTGATTAGGTCTCACTATGTTGGGAGGACCTTCATTGAGCCATCACAGAAGATTAGGGATTTTGGTGTGAAGCTCAAGCTGTCCCCGGTCCGGGCTGTGTTGGAGGGGAAGAGGGTTGTGGTTGTGGATGACTCAATTGTGAGAGGAACCACGTCTTCGAAAATTGTTAGGTTGTTGAAGGAGGCAGGTGCTAAGGAAGTTCATATGAGGATTGCAAGCCCGCCCATTATTGCTTCTTGTTATTATGGGGTGGACACACCAAGTTCTGAGGAGTTGATTTCAAATAGAATGAGTGTTGAGGAAATTAGGGAGTTTATTGGATCGGATTCACTTGCTTTTCTGCCAATTGCTAAATTGGAGAAGATGTTGGACAATCAGTCTCCTAACTTTTGTTATGCTTGTTTCTCTGGAAAATACCCTGTGGAGCCTGGAGAGGTTAAAGTGAAAAAGGTTGGTGATTTTGTGGATGATGGGTTGAATGGTAGTTTTGAGTCCATTGGTGGTGGTTGGGTTCAAGCAAACCAGACTCAGAAAGAGGAGAAGGATAAGGAATTTGAGGGTAGTGTTCTTTAATAGTGACTCGTCGACATGCCATTGCTTGCGGTGCCTCCAGTTTATGGTATAGGGGCTTTTTTTTATATCAAAGGAGCAGAACAGGGAATATCCATTGCAGTGAGTGACTGATGTCTTCAATGATCTAAATTATGGTTACGTGCTTCCTTGAATTTTGGGTTCCAAAATCCAAGACATGGTTCCTTTTCAATTTTGCATCTGATAATTGTTTGAATTTATATTTTCTTGATGATACACAGTTGGTTAAGTTGTCTGAATTCAGCTCTAACATTACCAGTTTTGTTAGTTTTTTTTTCTGGTTCTAGCTTTGGTTATGTCTCTTGACCAGCTCAAAATTTTCTTGCTTGTGCATTTTAGTTTTTAGGCCCTATTATTAAGATTTAAACTCACAGCAAGGAAAGTTGGGGCCAAGGTTTGTCCCTATTACTGGGATAAATAGCAAATATCATTTTTGAGTCTCTGATCATGTTTGTTATTACTTAAGATTTATCCTTTCATCAATCTCTTCTTTGATATACGTTGCTTGGCCGAACCGTATCCAAACCGTATCGCTTATCATCCGTATGTGTCATGTTTGTTCAGTGAAAAGTTTGGTATAACTATTTTTCTTGTTGAAATTTTTAACATCCATGGATTTGGATGCATTCCATCTTTTGTTTGTATAATGGTACTACAGGAGGATTGGCTATATCATATGTTATTGAAATAATATGAAACCAAGGTAATTCACTAATTTTTATTATAGCATGATAATTATATTTCCAAGCACAATATATTTGTAGCTTGATGAGTGAGAAATCAACGCAAACTCAATTTTTTCCGAAGTTGATTAGTCATGAGACTTTGGCAGATCTTGGCTTGACCTTCAATATACACTTAAACACGGACAGAAATGAAGAGATACCAAGTACACCATCAAAGAATGGATGGAGATTGGTCTCTTTGTAGTCTATTTTATCGACCTTTTTAGGCGAAAAAGAAAATCGAATCTGATTTCACATTCGGGAGTTGGGATGCGTTTCTTGTGCAATTTCTCACTGCAGACAAATAAATTTCATTTTAACTCGGCTTTTCTCTATTTTTCCTTTTATTCAGGTGAACCAAATTGGCAAAATTACAAACGCGGCAGTAGACAGATTCCAATTACATGCCACTAATTTATATCAATACAAAATAAATATTTTTAAAATAAGAATAATAGCGTAACACCAATATCAGATTTTAATCGAACAGCTTCAAAATTCAAGGGTCAATGGACAAATTGGCACCTAAAGAGAACTTTAAATTATGAACTGTTGGCTTCTTTTTTTCCCCCAAGTCGGGGCATACCTCAGTTAGAATTATTTGTGACATTTAGCATATAGTGAATGAGGCATGAGGCATGAGGCATGAGGCATGAGGCATGAGGCATGAGGCAAGTAAATTAGATCTGGTTCATCCACATGGACAAATAAGCGGAAGATCATCTGGTTCATACACGAGAACATCAAGAAGCCACAGAAAATCAGCCGTTTTCTGCTCGGTCGTAGGAATTGGATTTATGCTTTGGTGCAAATGTAAAGCCATCTGGAACCTTGCCGAGCAACATCTCAGAGATCCTAACCTGCAAGAGGAAGAATAAATAGAAATGCAATCAAACTACACGTTAAGCAGGTTGGGTCAGTGGATCTGATCAGCTGAAAGAGAGGGTAAAGCCATACCCAGTCCGCAGCAGAATCAGAGGCCATTAGTGTCTCAAGGTCATCACGACCAAAATAGGACGGTGGGCGCCAGCTCAGCCGTTGAGGAATGACCTCTAGAAGGCCAACAGGTACATATCTACAAGTGTAGCTAAGCCATTCTAACAAAAAACGCCTAGTTGTCTCCACACCTGAGACATGCGACAAGATAAAAGCCCGCAGAAAACAGAACTTTCATGAGCACAGATGTTGGAAAAGGTTTACACCATTTATTGACAACTTCAAAAAAAAAAAAAAAACAAGTAAACTTTCTAGTAGAAACCAACATGGAGTTGGGTAACTGTTCAGCTCAATATCACGTAATTTTATAAAAGCATTAAACTTCCTACGAGGGCACAGTTGCTAAGTAAATTACAGCCAGTATGTTAAACAAACTAATAATACAAACCTTTAGTGTCAGAGCCCCAATGTTCAAGGCCAAGACGTACATAATCCTTTAAAATATTCAACCGCTCCCCAGAACTGATATCCCAGTGTCTCTGCTCCTTTATTTCAGTAAAAATCCAAGGCTGCAAATCATATGGATGTTTAGAACTCATAGGTTTTAAACATGGTTCAGACAGAAACTTAAAGTCTAGAATATGCACACACAAACACAAATGTAAGATGTAAATTTCAGGAATATACTACAACATAAATAAAGATACATCGAAAAATAAACAAAAGTAGTTGTGTCAGGGGGAGAAGGTTGTGGACAAGACAAAATGCAAAACACAGACCTTAACTAGTGCTCCTCGAGCAATCATGCATGTAGAAAGCTCAGGGCATTCAGCCTGGTGCTTGTTCCAATCCAAATACGAAAATATGTCTCCATTTCCAAGTACTGGCAAAGCATCAGGGGCCTTTCTGGCACACTGGTATACGTATTCCCAATCTGCAAGCTTGCTGTAGCGTTGCTGTCGAGATCGACCATGTATTGTTACTGCACTGGCTCCCCAGTTTCCCATGTCTGCAATAAGCGAATCAATGCGATTTTTCCCCTCAAAATAGGCTGTCCTGACCTAGAGCAACAAGAAAGCAGCAGTATAATATTTCTTGAACAACCTTAAACACTAGAAGTTCAAATAAGAAGCAATCAAGCAGAAAACACAATTAAAGCTAGAAATTGCAGTGAACATCACATTTCGGAACCAAACAATTGAACAAAAATGTGACACATCCTTCAGCTAAAACTTGCTATCTTGCAAACTCATGTAGAATGTTTTGTTCATAGTTGCATAGAACTGGCATACAATTCAGTACCTTAATAGTTATAGGACAGTCCACTGTACCAGAAGCTGCTTGTACAATGCCTTTCATCCGCATTGGTTTTGTAAGGAGAGCTGATCCAGCACCTTTGTTCACAACAATATCTATTGGGCACCCCATATTTATATCAATAAAGTCCACCGTACATTCCTGATTTACAAGTTCAACAGTGCGTGCCACAGTGTCTGGATATGCTCCACATATCTGAACACCGAACAAATCCTCAGATGAATGTCGCCTTAGAAGTGCCCATTCTGATGCTTGACCCTATTCCCATATGAAAATTGCAATTAGGAAAATGTGACATTGGAGGGTAGATTACAGCATTTAACAATTAAATTACAAAACCAGAAAGAAAGAAAAAATAATAGAAAAGGTAATATATGAAACGAAGAAAAATGATTAGCACAACTCCAGTTTAACGCGAAAACACTGCTGATCTTGACACCGCCTATGTGTTGTGGCATACATCGTAGAACTGTGGAGATGTAGCCATTTCTTTTCTTAGCAAGTCAAAGAGAAAATGAAAAACGCATGCTTTCCGGTGCACGCTTGAGAACAAATATCAAATGACACTAATAGCCATCTCAGGCAAGTTAAATTATTTGAACAAGCTTCACTAGCCTTAATGTTAAGTATAAACTCCACAAACAACAGAGAAAATATATAATTCATCTAGGGAATGGTATAAAGTACTATTTATTTTCACATCAAATGATGAAAGTATTCTTTTGAAAGAGTTTATAAAACTCAAATTTCCGATTGTGGGATGGTGCAAACATCGTGGATCATCACATTAATCACACAGTGAAGTAGATGAGATCAACAGCATTGAGTGGCGTCATCAGGTGAAATGACATTTTTATGATAGTATGAGAATTCGAGATGATTTAGACTTAACCATTGGTTGTTTTTTTTTTTTAAATCAGCTTCTTATAAATAAAAAATGCAATTATAATAATCAGCTGGCAAAAGCATAGAACAAACCTGCAAAAGATTCGTACACATTGCCATTTCACCACATGTTATATCTGCTCCTAACCCTTTGCACACCCTTCGGAATGGAAGATTTCCAACAGTGGTCAGAGGCGCAAGGTACAGCTTTTCTCTAAAATCAATAAGCTTCTTTTCACGTGGGTGTAATTTTAGGCTTCTATCACTTTCTGGTGATACAATATCAGCAGTAGCCTCTGGTTCAGGTGATGTGCAGCTTGGCTCAACCACTTCTGCTGTAGCATTCACACCTATTGCAGTATAATCACCTTAAATTGGATGCCCCCAAGTATTAAAACAAAAGAAAATAATTTAAAGAAGGAAAAAAGGGCTATACCTCCATCATCTACTTCACCAGATAAAATCTCCTCTTCAATTACAGATCTTGGCTTCTTCAAAGGCCGAGATTCATCCAATGAAAATGTTTCATCAACACCATTCTCCTCTCTTATTTCAGCGGCAAATTCCATTTTATCATCTGAGTTATTGGGCAATTCAGTACAGCCATTTCCGTCAGTAACATGACAGTTATTTGAAATAACCTGGTCATCCTTCTTATTTTCCAAAATCTTTATTTTTGAATTAGCATGCCCCTGCCAAAGAATAATAGAAATATTAAATCCAAGTGAAAATCACAGAAATGCATGTAAACCAGACACAAATTCCCTGTCACCACTATTAATGTTTAAGGCATGGACAAAAACATGAATGAAAGAAGACATTTACAAATGTGGTGGCTGACTATCACTTATTATAACTTGGATATTTAATTATCCCTTCGCAGTAGCCAAAGGCCATTGCTTCACTTGAAACAAATTAATGTGATAAGATTGTGGCTTTTTACAACAAGAAAGAACACCAATATATAATTACTCAGTAGATCATTTCAACTTAAAGTGTAGAAGTTGTCTTCAATTCAAACATTTAAGCAGAGCATTTTTCTATCCGAAACCTTTGAATTAAGGAGGTATGGATGTACAACTACACCTTTCTTTTTTTTTTTCCTGCATCATATTCAAAACCCATAGTTTTTTCAAGCAACCCATACACCCTTCTACGAATTTAATTAGAAATCATTTGATACCTTAGTTTCAGGGTGCAGGTAAAGTACCATGATAACAGAACAGAACCACAATGAGAATACATATAAATGGGCACACACCCACACAAACATACAGATAGAGAGAGAGAGAGAGAGAGATTTAAGAAAACAAGGATAATGTATGTTAATACCAGGAGACCAAGAGCCTTGAGTTTGGCATCTGCCTTGGGGAACTTCACTTTGTTCTTCCACAAAAGCTTTTGAACATCTTTGCTTAATCCATTCATCTCAGAGATTCTCCTGTGAGCGCTCACATCTCCAGCTTCAACGCCATCTTTATGTGAACCCAAGAACCTACATGCCAACCCATAAGGGCATGTCTCTTGGGCAGTCATGAAAGGACAATCTCCCTCTATATCCTCAGGTTTCTACATTCAACAACAACATCGAATCCTCACACGGGTCAATCGCCACATAACATTTTATTTACAAGAAAACCCAACGAGCCAAAAACTCAAAAATACTACACAAGCATTCAAATCCAATCTTCAATACCTGAGCTTTATAAGCTTCTATGTCGTGGCTGAAGCGGCATTTGTCGTTGTACGGACACCGACTAACATCTCCTCTTTTTGCTACCTCAGGGCAGATGCCTACAGCCGATTTCACCGCCTGCAATGTTGAAGAAAACAAACTTGTCAAAATTGTCTCAAGCTCTCAGCTAACAACTCAAATTCCCATCCTTTTCTTTGATTTCAAATCCCCAAATAAGGGATTCACTATTCTCGTATCCAAACACAAACCTGCTGGCGTTCGCGCTTGAGCTGCCGCTTGGACTTCTTCTCCTTCACTACGCTAGTCTGGGCAGGCTTTGTTTTCCCACCGGAAACGGCGTCGTTCTGCTCGTTTGAGCAAGCTCTGATAGGCGGAGGGCAAAGGAACTGTTTCTTCACAGGAGCTATGGACTTGGCTACCAGCTCCTCCGGCGTTCGGTCCGCCCAGCCGTTCGAGACCTTGGGGACCGGGGCAGGTTCGGCGGGAGACTCGTCCATGGCAGACCGAGTTGACCCGTGCTACCTCGTTAGGGTTGGTTTAGGGTTTATTGCTATTGTTGGGGGAGCACCGATGCACTGGAGTCTGAGTGAGAGTAGGGTTTTGCAGTGTTTATGGAGACCAGGTGATACGAAACGACGTTCAAATATTATTTGAAGCCCAAATCAATCGGTCTGGGTTTTACTCATATCAGAAGTGAAATTGGTATTATTTAATCGGTGTGATTCAGTTAAGTTTTGGTATTAAAAATAAAAAATAAAAAATAAAGTTTTCTTATTTAAACCCGCACTTCTCTTTGTTCACCTCATATTCTAAGTTAATCCCAACTTCTAATTCAGATGTTCACAATTTCTAAGAAAATCCTACTATCTTCTCAAATTGCCCATAAATACACATCCAGCAGAAAATAAAATAAAATAAAATAATTCATCAACCCCACAACCCGCTATCTTGCCCCTTACAAAGAGAATTACAACAAGTTTTTGATCACAACATCCTCAATAATTCTAGGAGGAGTCCCAAACCAAGAAATAATCTCACATTACATACCTCGATTGACGACACACAAACCACTATTTGTATACCGTATTTAGGGTTTGTGAAGAAAAGATGAGAGTATAGTGGGTTTCTTGAAAGAGAATAGTAATCTGGCAATAGGGTGTAGATGAGTTTTCTAAAACTTAATATGAAGAGTAGTGGGGTGTGTGTATAGATGTACTATGGTTAAATATTAAGTTGGATGACCTTTTTTGTCTTTTTACACAATAATAAAATTGAGCTTAATGATTTAAGTATGGGGTGAACAAAGAAAAGTGTGGGGTTTAAATAGAAAAACTCAAGAAAAAAATTTTATGAAACCGGTCGGTCCGGTTTACACCAATTCCAATGCGATTTCTGATTTTTCTGGTTTTGAACTAGATATTTTTTATTTATTTTTATAAATTCCAACTAAAATTTTATTTTTTGCGCTTAAAAATTCACAAATGATCCAATTTCATGCAAAGAGAGATGATTGGGCCTATTAAAGAAAGGTGCTTTGAAGTTGGGCTTGGATAAATATTAGTTAGATGATTAGAAATTAAGCATTGTACTTAAATAATTTAAAATATAAATATAAAAAAATACACAACCTGTTCAGTCTGGTCCGGTCTGATTTTGTAAGGTGTGAAATCGACATTGAAATCAGTTTGAATCGTTCCGGTTGGTTTGTTGACTTTTTATAAAGTCAACACGAGTTTTTTTTCGGTTTTTTCTATAGGGTGTGGCTTAGTATTTCGGTTTTTCGATTTCAATACCCACCCCTACTTACCAACCAAAAAAGAAAAAAAAAAGAAAACTAAAAAGAAAAAAAAATGGTTATTAAATGGTCTGTAATGTGCATAAATATTCTTTAAAAAGTGGAAGAATGAAAAAAAAAAAAGTATATAGTGATAAAAAAAAGTTTAATAATAAGGATATTGTAAATTGAGTATTTCTGTTTTAGGTTTAGTGAATCGATTTTAAATTTTGTTTTGGAAAAGCTCAATCAAAGGCTCAAATTTGTTGGGCGTGTTTAAATTATAAAAGAAAATTACAATTTACCTTCTTTTTTTTAAAGCTAGGAGCCTCCCTCTCTCGACTGGAAAACATGGCAGCGCAGACCCAATTTTATGGCAACTTTCCATCTTCAAAACAGCCTTATCTCGTTGTCGTTCCTTCACGAAAGTTGCTCGCCATCACCTCCTCTATGATCTTCCCAAAATACCCAACCTAAACAGCTGACGTTCATGGCCAATTTTGGTTCGAACAGTCCAGCAGTCGTGTCACTATAGCACCACAATATCCAAGGGGCTGTCTTTTATTTGTTTTAGTAATTTCATCATGGTATTGTATTTTTTTTGCCCCTAACTTTTTAATAGGTGCATTTTGCTCAGAAAATGTTGTGTAGTTTACGTTTTATGTACATTTGTTTAGGAAGCATTTGGATTTTAGTATGAATATGTTAAGTATATGGAACTTGTACAATTCTATCAACAATTGATATGTCTTTTAATAGTTTTAGTACTTTCATCATGCTTTTGCCTTTTGGTTCCTAACTTATTAATAGGTGCATTTTTCACCAAACTCTGAAGTGCGGTTTCATTTTTGTTTTTGCTATAGTTTCTACTTTCATTTCTAGTTTATATTTTTGTTTGTAGTTTCAGTTTTTGTTTGCAGTTTTTATTTTTGTTTACATAATTGATATATGTATTGTTTTGTTATAGAGTAGTAGCTAATGGTTTTTTTTTTTTTTTGGTCTTTGTTTTTGCAATTTGTAACATCCTGACCCAAATTTAAGTATTCATTTAATTTAATTAATGTAATAAATTATGAAATTACAATTTTGACCCTAGGGATAGGGTCATTTTGGTAACTTTTTAATCTAGAAGGATTTTGAGGAAATGAATGGCACCATGGTGTCGATCGCGTTGAGATGAGTCCGTAGACATGTAGTGGGCTCAAATTGGAGTGGGAACGAAGAAGTTATGATCAATGAAAGTATAACGGTATAACCGTAAATATTTCGAAGTCCAGTTTTTAAAATCAGATTTTTTTTTCTTCTTTCTTTCTCTCTCTCTCTCTCTCTCTCTGGAAGCCCCCCCTCGCAACAACATCTTCTGCCAACCATTTCTTTGGCTGGCCGCTGCTTCATCCTGTAACATCCCGACCCAAAAAATTAATTATTCGTTAATTAAATAAATTTATTAAATTGTGAAATTACAATTTTGCCCCCGTGGATAGGGGTAATTTGGTCACTTTGTAATTTTGAAGGATTTTGGGGAAGTGATTGGTACTATTATGTAGATAGTGCCGAGATGAGTCCATAGACACGTAGTGGGCTCAAATCAGAGTTGTAACAAAGAAGTTATGATCAAAAGAAACGTAGTGGCAAAATCGTAAATAATTCAAAGTTGGTTTTTAAATATATGAAATTCTCTCTTCTCACTCTCTCCCTCTCGTGCAAACATAACGGTTTTCTCACTAACGCTGCCACCTCCGGCCACCAAACTCAACAAGGTTGGTACCAAAAGAACCAGCACAACGTCGCCTTCCCATCCCAACCCTTCGCCGCCCAGCCGTATCTTGCTGGAAATTAGGGGTTATACTGGTTCGACATGTTCAGACCGTTGGATCGACTCCAATTTAATATATGTTGATCTAGGCATCCCTAAGATCGTGTAAGAATTCGCATATCGTGAATCGGAGCCCCAAATGTTCCGATTCAATAACTCAAAGTTTGCATTAAACAATAACCGTCCGATCGTGCGATTGCGAGCGATCCGACTGTTCGATTCGAGCCAAAGTTGCGGGACATACTTATTAAACCTTGTTGAACCCATAGGAACTTCTAGATCGAAAATCGGAGGTTGTTGTTTAAAACCAAGTGACTGAGCCATGCCCACTTCTAAAGAAGAAAAGTAGTTACAAATGATTTCAGATTATTTATTTAGTTATTTCAATTTCAAATAAAGGGATGTAATCGCACAAGCATCAATACAAGTTCAGTTTTTTGTTCACAAGAAATGTGCAGTTATCTATAAGCGTTCTAAGGGAGAAGCATGCCAACTAGGCTATCGTCCATAAAAAGCTTCCTAAGGGAGACACAGGGCGACCACCATGAAGCGTTCTAAGGGAGACGCAGGCCAACTAGGTCGTCGTCAATAAGAAGCGTCCTAAGGGAGATGTAGAGCGACCACCATGAAGGGTCATAAAAGAGATGTAGGGCGACCACCATGAAGCGTTATAAAGGAGACGCAGGGCGACCACCGTGAAGTGTCCTAAGGCAAATGCGGGCCAACCAAGTCGGGGCACAAACATATAAAATCATTCAAGTCTGTTAGGGTATTAAATTGCTAACAGTAGCACGCTCACATAAAAGAAAGTTAATAAACCATTAATGCTTAAAAGATTAATGGAGAATTTTACTTAGCCTTCAACATGCTCAAATTCAAAAAGGGTAAACAGTGTGTGTGTGTGTGTGTGAGAGAGAGAGAGAGAGAGAATCAGTTCAAGTGGATACTACATGTTGAATTTGCACCATGGCTTGCTGATTCTCTAATGCCTGAAATTGTGCAGGCTGAACATGAATCTTTAACTGCTCTGACTTCGAAGGGTTAAGATCGCTTTGGTGGCCATGTCAATGTCTGAAATGGTGGCTGCGCTGCTTTGCGTACTTCTTAAGAAAGATTTAGATCTGGAGAACAACGAAGATGATGTGGTTTTAACTGATTTTTGGTCCATAGTTCACACAATCTTAGCAAGTCATATATACTAACACCATTAAGATTTGTAATGGCCGTTTGGTAATCATTTCATTTTTTATTTTCATTTTTCTTCTTGCTAGAGATACGGAGAAATTATACAGGAGAAAATTAAGAGGAAAAGCACGGGTGCATGCAAGTTTCTCTCGTCTAGAGGCTTATTTCAGAGTGCTAACAGAATACACATATTGTGCCTCTTTTCACATCACCTCAAAAACCCAAGGGTTATTTTATTGGAAGCCATGGGCCCTAAATTTTTGCGGTGTGTTATATCCTAAAGAAATAGGTTGGACAGAAGGAAGCCAGGTACAGTGCTACATGTCTAGTACCCTGCAAATGTCTATGTTAACCAAATGGGCAAGGAAATACTCTTCTATAAAAAAAGATCTCCCTTTGATATCATTCAATACAACCACATGCCAATGAAGATATCATTTAAATTTAGAGACAGGAGAGGGAGAGTGGGAAGAAACACAGAGAGAGA